TTTTCCTTGTGTGTCAGGAGTCATGCAAGAATTTCTCAGGGGGGAAAATTAAGAAGGGGGAGTAAAAAAAAAAATTACATCTGTTAACCTTACAAATGAAGAGGAACAGAATCCCAGAATGATAAACACGGAGGGGGAGGAGGAAAATGCCTTTTTTTTTTTTTTTTTCCTTGGGTGTCAGGAGTCATGCAAGAATTTCTCAGGGGGGAAAATTAAGAAGGGGGAGTAAAAAAAAAAAAAAATTCAAAAGAAACAGAAGGGAAAAAGAAAAGCCCCACACCTGCAAAGTAAAAAGAAAATATTTTTTTTTCTGTTTTTTTTCTCCTTTTTTTTTTTTTTTTTGGACACAGACTTTTTGCATACCATGGGTTCATGGGTGTATTAATGCACTTATATTCCCAGCTTTAAGCTAACATACAGTAAATAAATACACAGTCCGAGGAGGGAGCGTGGAGGGGGGGGAGAGGGGAGCGAGGAGGAAGAAGAGGATGAGGAGGAAGAAGAGGCTGGAGCCGGGGAAGGGGCTGCCGTAGTTACTGATATCCCAGGGCAGAAGCTGAGGTGAGTCTTTGGCCGTAGAGCGCGTACGGGGAGTAGTAAGGTCCGGCGGCCGGCAAGGAGGGCACGGGCAGGGCCCCGGCCGTGGGCAAGTGGCTCTTGCCGTAGGGATGGTACCTGTTTAGTCCCAAAGTGTGTGGGCTCCTCAAGGAGAGGGAGGCCGGTAAGGTGTTGGGGCTGCCGGGGGCGGCGGGCGGGAGGTGGAGGTGGCAGGAGGCCGCGGAGCCCAGCCCGGAGGTAGGGTAACCCGCCAAGAGTTTTTCGGCCCCCGGCAGGGCCGTGTGGGTCCGTAGGTGGGTGAGCAGCTCCTCCGAGGTGGCAAACCTCTTGTCGCAGGGTCCGCTGGCAGACACCCAGTTGCATATGTGGGGCAGGGGGTCGTTCTGCAGCATGAAGCCGTAGGTGTAGAGGGGGTGGCCGGGCAGGCTGGGGGTGCCGCCGGAGGAGAGCGTGGTGTGCACCGAGTGCAGGGGGTGCGTGGGGTACACCAAGGGGTATCCGCTCTTCAGGCTGCCGGGGTCGTGCACGCAGCTGGAGCAGTTGCCGGAGCCCAGGTGCGAGGCGCTGTGGTAGCTCAGGCAATAGGGGTCCCGGCATAATCCCTGCATGAAGGAGGGCGGCGAGGCCCCCGTCAGCGGGCTGGAGCTGGGGGGTTTGCCCGGCAGCCCCAGAGCCCCCGGCAGCTGGCTGCCCACCAGGCCCGGTTTGGTGGGGTCCAGCCCGGGCACGAACTGGGAGGGGTAGCCGGCGTAGGCGCCCACGATGGAGCCGTGGTAGCCGATGCTGGAGGGCGGCAGGGGGAAGACGGAGTGGCCCGGCTTGTAGGGCGAGACGGGGGCCACATGGCTGGCGGCGGCGGCGGGGGGCAAGGCGG